CAATCGATAGAGCTAGTCGAGTTCTACTTGGCACCAGAGAGAATAGAATTGGCATCAGCTCTGAAGCGAATCGGGAAAGGAAATACTCGAATCGGGAGCTAAGATATCCTACGTTAGTTTTAATGTATATAATTGTAAATATATCTTAGAGATTTGTTTTAATAAAAATTTTCTAACCATATTTCATACACTGTAAGTATATATGATTATTGATAAAATATGAAACTAAGTTTTAAAAAAAATTCAATTATTTATTATATATCTTTTCGATAAATATCATATATTTATTCAAATAGATAAAAATATATTAGCAATCTTATATTATTTAGTTTGAATTTAAAATATAATTTTAGATTTTCTATTTCAAGAAAAACCATTGCTAAAATCTTTTTATTAACTTAGTTATTATATAATAAATATGTATATGAATAAAAACAATTCAACATTCATTGTTAACAATGATTGATTTACTTCAACTATCAAATAATAATTCATCAGTTGAATATTTACACAATTATCAGACAAATTTTTAATATTTGATGAAGAGATATGCAAAATCGTTTATTTAGATAAAAAATATCAAACAAAAATAAACTTAGGTGTGCCAAGAGAATACGTGTACATCCTTTCAAATATACCCCCCCCCTTAGTACATTTATCTTTCTCTTGTTCTGTATCTTTCGCTTGTTCTGTTTCTTTTCTCTTTCTTTTCGTATTCTGCTTTTTATAATATACTCAGTCTCAACACGAACACTTCGGATGAAGGTTGGACTCAACACGGTGATACAATTATTCTGAATTGTATTGGAAGACTCGAAGACGGAATAGAGTCTGAACCTTAAGCTCAGTAAAGAAGCAACAGGAATCACTATTTTATTTTATTTATTATTATTATATTGTCGTCGTATTTTCCTTTTATTTATTCAATAAAAGATTCATATTCATTATTTATTTGATTTATTCTATTTTCCGTTACAATTGGCGATCACACCAGGATATTACACAATATCAACTCAGAATAATTAATTATTTTATATACAAATAATTCAATTAAGAGATTAACTACTAGTAAAATGTCTGGACAGATAACTACAATCGAACAACTTGTTCAGCTCTATAGAGAAGCATATGCAGGTAACCGGAATCAAGTTGGGCCGGTACTTATAGGCGGTGATCAAATTATTGAACTACCTGCAAGAACAGTGGCTCTTATGGAAGAAATTAGAGTAGACTTAATTAAAAAATACAAGCAAACACCTGCACGAATGTATTTGGAAGAAGATTTAAAAATGCTGGAAAAACCTTTCGGTCAAAGGCTGATCGAAGAGCAACGAGAAATCGAAAAACCGATACAACTATCAATACTTGGACAAGACACTTTAATTAATGAACAATTAAAATCCACAATCGAGTTAGATGACGGACCCAGCCTAAGTTCACCTTGGCCCATGGGAACAGAATCATGGCATATTCACGAAATCAAACCACAACGAATTTTAGATCTCCCTGAGAAAATGTCGAACATCCAAACAATTATTCCATCTAACGAGATAGTGTCTCAAACCGATGAAGTACACAGTCTTCAAGCGCTCAAAATTATAGAACTAGATGTACGTCAACCCACACCCGCGGGAAAGAATTCTCAAAATGCCGAAACATCATCACAGCTTTTACGTGCTGTTCCATTAGTTAACGAGCAGCAACAAAGTCACTTTGAACCACCGCAAATAACAAATGTACGATACAAGCCTAAATTAAGGCTTTGTCGACGTCATACGAATCAGAAACATCGGTTACATAACTTCGTATCCACTTCAAAACAATGGTTTACAAAGTCGTTACCCAATGTTAAAACAATTAAAATACTTCGGGATCTCGAATCACTTTTATTCTATGCGATACTTTAACATATGACTTAATTTCAAACGCATTATTTGGATTTTAGGCCCTTGGATTGGTACGGATATTTGTTTTGGATTTAGAGATACACGTTTTGCTAAACATAAGTAATGGTGCTCGAACATATATTATTATGAATTTATAGGAACTTTAGCTATTTCTATGAAACTTCTTATGAATCTCTGTTAAATCCGATGAATTATTAGAAAAGAATATATATGGTATAAATATTATAAATATTATGATTTTTATATATGATGAATTATTATGAAGTTGCACGAGTTACAATATACCATTACGAATGAATATGAAGTTTTACAAATTGAAATATATTAGTATGAATTAATATGAAATTTTATATTTTACTGAATGCTTTCTAAATTTTTATACATTATTATGAAAGATTAAACAGAATACAACTGCACACATCAACGATGAGGATAAATTTATTCAGAAGAAATTAACATAAGGACGACGATTGAAGGCAAGGATAAAAGTATTATATATAAACATTGATAAGGACGACAATTGAACAAAAAGATAAAATTATCATATTCAAACGTTGATAAGGACGACAGTTGAACAGAAGAATAAAAGTATTATATACAAACGTTCATAAGGACATTCATCAAAAGCAAGGATAAATTCATCCCGAAAAATTTTACATAATGGGATGGCTCGACAAACAAAGGAGAGTATTAACAAGACAAACGTTGATGAGAACAACTATCAAAAACAAGGATAACTGGATTAGATGACAGTTTCATCACTTAAATCCACGGCTACCTAATAATTTAAGTGATACCTTCAGTGAGTAATTGAACACTAATTTGTCGCAACATGTATTTTTTTTTTACTATATTCATATATATCCGTTTCTTTCTTATTCATCTTCACACTCATCAGTATACTTATGATTTATTCATATCAAATTTTTTTTTGCTTCATATGTGCTCGCGTTTTCTTTTCTTTCCTTTCCTTTTTATTTTACTTTATTTTATTTTATTTTATGTTATTTTTTTTTTTTCTTCTCTCTCGTTCATTTCGTCTCAGATATATCTACAGTGTGCTCTTTCTCATTCTGCTTTTATATACTATATGCTATACAGACGCTCGGGAGCGCGTCTCAATTAAAGGGGAAGATGTGCCAAGAGAATACGTGTACATCCTTTCAAATATACCCCCCCCCCCTTAGTACATTTATCTTTCTCTTGTTCTGTATCTTTCGCTTGTTCTGTTTCTTTTCTCTTTCTTTTCGTATTCTGCTTTTTATAATATACTCAGTCTCAACACGAACACTTCGGATGAAGGTTGGACTCAACACGGTGATACAATTATTCTGAATTGTATTGGAAGACTCGAAGACGGAATAGAGTCTGAACCTTAAGCTCAGTAAAGAAGCAACAGGAATCACTATTTTATTTTATTTATTATTATTATATTGTCGTCGTATTTTCCTTTTATTTATTCAATAAAAGATTCATATTCATTATTTATTTGATTTATTCTATTTTCAGTTACATTAGGTTCAAAAGATATTATAATTCGAAATTGAAATCAAACTGAAATTGTTATTACGACAGACAGGACTTCAAACCACACAAAAATTAATTGAATATAATATAAATAAGCTAGAAGTAAATTGAATATTTTTTTATTAGGTTGAACTACATGTGGATAATGAGAAATAGATAATGATGGTTCAAAATTAGATCGATTGTTGGATATATTAAATTCGTTCATTTCCAGTACAACTTCAAGTGAAAGACGAGCACTATTTTTACGAGTTTCTATATCATCATATAGTACAGGTGAAATATTGTCAGTCGAAATTAGTTTCAGGAATGAAGTCATTTTGGTTTCGTCAGCGGCTGTAAATGTAAGAGTCAATGAAACATATGCATGTGGATTATCTAGTGATAAAAAACTACGAGTTGATTGCGATGTAGAAATTCCATTTGATATTATTGAATCACGACAACGTGAAATTGTTGCATCTTTAGCTAAGGATATTGTTGAATCAGTACCATTATCGTCTGGTGATGCTGATCGAATTAAAGCAGTATCTGTTTGAGATAGTATTCGATTTTGAGGAGTATAAAGTGGTGTTGTTTCAAGATCATTTAATTTAAGAAGACTTGCATGATATCTATCAACTTGTAAATGAGAACAATCACCTAATCTATATGATTACAAAAGAAGAGAAAAAAATACAACTATTTTCCATAGATTTTGTTCACATACTTGTATCGAATAGGAAAAAAACAGCACCATTTCCAGTTAGAATCTATATGAAAAAAAAGAAATAAACGATTCGATTATTATTATTTTTTCTTACCACATTCAAGATCTGTACAATAGGTTCTTCGATAATCATAATATTTTAATGCAGAAAATATACACACAAATATCGATCATATTGTTAATATAATTAAAATAAAAAATAATATTATTAATATTCGACTTGATCCATTATAAGCTAGAATTGAATTAAAACCTAAATAAAAAAATATATGACTTTTCTTGTTACATTTATCATATGAATTTTTTGAATACATACGAATATCAATATATGCTTCAATAGGAGAACTATATGTTCCTTTATCTAATAAATATGATATAATTTGTACAATATATTTTGATTGTTTTATATCTTTTAATATATATGAACGAGTAGGATAATCAACAACAATTGAACGTTGCGATTGTTGATTATTAAATAAAATTGTTGAACGCCATTGTATAACATAATAAATAATATTTGTTGATAATTTTATCTTGTCTGAATGATTCCATGTTATATGAAGATTTGATCTTGATTGAGACGAACAAAGATTAGTTGGTGATAATGATCAAGATGAATTTATTCGAGATAAATATTACAAATAATTTATTGATTAGTTTTCCGTTGTATTTAATTCAATTGTAATAATTGGAGTAAATGTTCCTAGACATAAATCATATTCTGCAACTATGGTTAATTCATATGTTTGTTGTAATTTTAAATCTGGTAATGTAAATTCACTAGCATTATTAGATAATACACGAATTTGAGTTCAATCACGTTTTCTTGTATGTAATATTTGATAGCAAATAAAAATATATTGAGATGGTCCACTATCATAACGTAGTTTCCAAGAAATAAAAACATTCGACGATATTTGTTTGTTTTGAATATTATGAGGTGCTTGTGTTGTTGTATCTAAGAATTAAATATATATTTCTTATATTAAAGACTGAAATCAAATTTACTTTCAACAATAAGCAATGATGTAATATTAGTTGTTGTATGTTCATTTGCTGCTTGACATACATATACACCATGATCTGTTTTATCAATATATTCGAATGTTAAATTCTCTTTAACTTCCTTCAATTCATTTGAATTCTATTAATAAAAAATAATTATGCCAAGAAAATTATTGTAGTTCAAGACATACTTTAAACCATTTAATTTTTGGTTGTGGATTACCAAAAGCAACACATGGTAATATTAATTGATCTTGTTCATTAGTATGATAAATTGATTTTGGTTGTAAAAGAAATTTAATTGGTTCTAAAATTTAATTATTTGTTTTTTTGTTAAATTAATAAATGAAATCAAACCTATTGTTTCAACATAAAATGTTGTACTATCATGACCAAATCCTTCGGAATTTTGTGCACGACAAAAATATTTACCATCATCAATATCTTCAACAGATTTTATTACTAAACTATATTCAGCATTAATAGAATATGCACCACCTAATTAAAAATTATTGAATAAAAAAAATGTATTTAAATATTTATAAATTACCTTTTGGTTCAATACGTATAGATAATCCATTTCGATACCAAGCAACAGATTGAATTGGTGGATATGAATCAAGTAAACATGGACATATACCTGTTGAACCTCGAATTAATGTTAAATTTTTTATTTGACGAGTACGTGATGGCATTGGTGGATCTAATTTAATTTCTTATTTTCTTAATAATTAAATATTCAATAAACTTACATTTAACTGTAATAATTGCGGGTTTACTACGAACACTTGCTGAATTTAATATACTTATTACACATACATATAAACCATAATCAGATGGTTGAATATGATTTATAGTAAGAACACCATCACTATAAGTTCGTATACGATCTTGTGATGCAATTATATCAGATATAAGAACATCATCTTTTAGCCTTACATAACAAACAAAAATATATTTTTATATTTAACACTTTCACTGTCCGGTGCATCATATGTGATGCACGATACTTTTCACTAAAAAGTCTTCGCATCACGTACGAAGTGCTTGTAGCATAGGATATCTTCAGCTGAATTTGCTAGACGTTACTAATCGACCATTCTTGAAATATAGGACGTATCAGAAAAATATAAATAATATACTATAATATTAAAAATAATTAAAAAAGGGCGTGTAACAACTATTATTTTTTTCACATGGGACAGTGAAAGTGTTAATATTAAAATCTTACCAATGATACTGTAATGGTTCACTACTTTCACCTTCACATTTTAGTGACAAACTACTATTGATTCTAACAGTTTGACTTTCTGGAAATCGTCGCCAATAAATCGAACCTTTTTACAATCAAATATTATAGATAAGAAACCAAAATCAAAGTATTTTCATACCACGTATAAGAAGTTGAAAGTCATTTTGTATTGTAGCAAGACGATTTTTTCCTATACATCGATACTTTCCTGCCATACGATCATCAACATTATGAATAGTATGCCTCGAAAAAATTACTAATGTGAATCAATAAAAATCTCTAGAATAAATATACATACTGTTGATTATTAATTGAAAGTAATTCTAAATCTTCACTATCGATTGTTTGTTTATTTTTCTCAAGAATTTTATACCATGTTACTACAGGAACTGGCACACCATAAATTTGACAAATAAAATTAACTGTTGAATAATGTGATGCTATTTGTAATGAATTTGATAGATTAATAAAACGCGGTGGTTCTAAAATTTTTAGTTTTTATGAAAAAAAAAATATAGATTAAAAAAAGACTTACCATTAACACGAAATGTAATAAAATATTTATCTTTTATATCAAGTAGACCACGATCAATTAATATTAAACGACATTCAAATGTATCATTATCGTTTAATTGAATATTATCAATATATAATGAACCGTTTGTTAAAAGACTATATTTATGACGATAGAAATCATCAATATGTACAGGATAATCATCACTTTGACTAACTATAGATTTAGTATAATTATTATCTAATCGGTACTATTGAAGTATTGTTGGAAACGACCATTTATTTCGATCTATTGAACACCCAATAGCAACATTAATATCACCTATTTCACTATCGATTGTTATTGATGATAAAGATAATGATAGTGTAGAAACCACATTTACTATAGGATAGAGTTAATAGAAATAATTAACAATTTTAAATAATTTCTTACCTGTATAAAGTATGAAAAAAATGTTGATAGTTAGTAGTAGAATCGATATAAAGTAATGACATAATTTATTAAAAATGAAAAGTCTAATCATATTTTAAAAATCTATAATAAACCTTTTTTTTGTTACTTATATCTGATCGATATATCATTGTGACCATGAGAGTGAATGCATTATATGTACACGTATATATATACACATACTAACTCGATTTAAAATAAAGTTCAAAAAAAAAAATAAGCGAACGAAAAAAATAAGAAAAGCAACGAATACATAATACGGTCAGACACGACATGTGGAGAAAAGAGAACAATATGAAGTGTTGTTATACAAATTGAAATAAGTTCTTTTATGAAAAAACAGCAGGCAGCTACATATACATCCATACAATTCTCATTCGATGACATTTACAAGTATCTGCTCGACTTCTGTTCTTTTTTTTTCATGCTTTCTTCAACCAACAATAAGTTATATTTTGGTGCGTGTGCATATGAAGATTTCTCATATTATTCTTTCGTTTATACCCACTCATATTTTCAATTGAATATCGACAATAAATTGTGTAGATGGTCTACGTTATCCAAAAACATATACCATTCATTGAGAACAAAAGAAGAATGACTTTTTAACATATTATATCTAAAGGCTATTATAGCTTTGGTAAACTTCAAATATTTCTTTTTCATTATTATTATCTAAAACTTCTCTTACACTTGATTTTATTTTATCATCTAAACCATTATCATCAATTTATCAAAATTTCGAGCTGATTTTCATTTATTAGCAATACTTCTTGCAGCAAAAGCAGAAAATACAACATGTTTATCTATTTTATCAATAAAAATTCAATCAGTTTCATTCACAGCTGAAACATTTGCTTCGATAACAACTGATGAATCATCTCCTTTATCATTAACAAATCAAGAATATTAAAAAAAAAATTTATCACGAACATTAGGTGAATTATCAATTCAACATATCGATCTATATATTTTTTTCTTTATTTAGCACGAACAATAAAAACTCATTCAATTTTAACAGATACAAATTTTGATCAATTTCTTCACTAAACTTCAACATCAAATGAAATTTCAATATTATTATTCACCCTTGAATCTTCATATAATTTACAAAAATCTTCTTTAAATAATAGAGATTGTGAATTTTGTCGTGATTCAAATACAAATGATTCTATAAAATAGAGACGTTATTCAATCGAAAATTTATTGTATCAATAGTATTTGTGTATCTTTTTTAAAATACAACGTGCATGATACAGAGCTAAATAAAATTATTAAAAAGATAAGATATTTAGTTTATACCGTAGTAAAGAAATATACATAATATAATAGTATGACTATGTTTACTAATAAAAAGGTTCTACTTAACTGTGTGCATAGTCAACCAACCACGTACACTTGAATGTACATAGAGATTTGCTTAAGTTATATCTACAAAAGTAGATAAATAGTTATTCATTTCTTTTCTAGATTTCTATTGAAAGGCATGGCAAAAGCAAACAACAAAACACTATGTTTTGCATGTAATGAAGACAAAATAACATATACTTGTAAAGGATGTTTAAAAGAGTTTTGTTTAACGGATTTAACAGAACATCAACAAAGATTAAATGAGGAACTGCATCATATTACTGATGATTTTAATGAATTTAAAGAAAAAATTAATAGACAAAAACTAAATCTACATGGTCATTCATTAATAAAACAAATTGATCAATGGGATATAATTTCAAGCGAAAAGATTCAACGAAAAGCAAAAGATTGCACAGAAATTGTCATTGAATCATCACAAACATGTATTAATCATATTGAAATGAAATTTAATAATTTACGTGAACAAATACAACGATTTCAAAAGGAAAATCAATTTAATGAAATTAACTTGAATTATTTAAGAAATCAATTGATAGAAATTACCGAACAATTAAATAATCCATCAACTATTTATATTCATCAGAATCCGCAATCATTAATCGATGATATTTTAATTATTTTACCAAAAAGTAAGTTATTAAAATAATTTCTAAAAGAAACGTAATGATGAAGAAGAGAAAAAAATTAAGAGTACTATTGATTTATTTATCAACTAAATTAATTATAGTAATATTATGAAAATAAAAAATTCAATATATTTCTATGTAAAAAGATGCGAAAATATAAACTAATATTAAATTGACAAAAAAAGCATTTTCTTCTTCTTTTCATCAAAATCTTCGATTTTGATTTTTTCTAGAATCAAAATTCAACAAATGGAATCAAAATGCTATCACTGTGACTGGTGGATATGGAGAAGGGCAACAATTAAATCAACTAAGTCAACCTTCTGGAATTTTTGTTGATAAAGAGAAAAATATTTTTATTGGTGATCATGATAATCATCGTATTATTGCATGGAAATACAATGCAAAAGAAGGACAAATCATTGCAGGTGAAAATGGGGAAGGAGATCGAATGGATCAATTAGATGGTCCAACAGGTATCATTGTTGATCAGCAAAGTCATTCGATCATCATTGCGGATCTGAATAACAGACGAGTAGTTCAATGGATGAATCAAAATCAACAAATTCTCATTCACAATATTGACTGTTCTTATTTGGCAATGGATAAAAGTGGATTTCTTTATGTTAATGATTATAAGAACAATGAAGTAAGACGATGGAGAATAGGAGATCACAATAACGAAGGAATTGTAGTGGCAGGTGGAAATGGAAAAGGAACTCAACTTAATCAACTCAATTGTCCTACTTTTATTTTTGTTGATAAAGATCAATCTGTTTATGTATCAGATAGTAGCAATGATCGTGTGATGAAATGGAGAAAAGATGCAAAACAAGGACGAATTGTAGCTGGAGGAAATGGTGAAGGAAGAAATCTTAATCAATTGTCTTCACCTGCAGGAGTCATTGTTGATGATTTAGGTCAAATTTACGTGGCAGATTTTGGAAATGATCGCGTAATGCGTTGGTGTGAAGACAAAGAAGAAGGTGAACTTGTTGTTGGTGGAAATGGTGTCGGATATCAATCAAATCAACTGAATGGTCCGATTGGTTTGTCCTTCGATGATGAAGGAAATCTTTATGTTGCTGATTATTTGAATCATCGAATTGAAAAATTTGAAATAATTTGTTGAATGAAATTTTTACTTTGAAAAAATGAAAAGAACGTGTCTCATTAGGCAACAACAAAGAAACGCCGTTTGTTTTTTTTTCTTGAAAATTATGTTTGGTTTGAAAATTTTGATTTTAAAAGTTCAAATAAATAAATGCCAAGTTCTTAATTTGTTGATTTTTGTCGAATTTTGCATAAGAAAAAAAAGAATACAGTTTACGATTTGAATTGAACTGAATAAAAATTTTTTTAAAATAGGTTATGTTCGATCAAGGTTTATTTGGATATTTTGATTAGATGAAACTAATCAAATATTTATTTTTCGACTTGATAAAGTTTAAGAATTGTTCAAAATTGAAAACAGAAAAGAAATATTTTATGAAGAATTAAAAATCGAAGTGAAACGAGTTTTGATAAGCAAAACAAATGGTGAAAACATTCCCATTTAGATGGAAAAAAAACGAATTTCGAGAAAAAGCAAAAGAAGTTCTCAAATGATTGTTAATTTAAATCTGATTGTTGATATCAAAGACATTTGTTTTATTTTTCAAACAAATTAAAATAAATATCTCACAATTGAGAATGACTGTAAATATCATATTTATATTTTATCTCCACCCACACCCACAAGATTACAAACTATATATGAATAGTAACAGTGCTGTTGATCGAACTTCAATTCATTTTTGTTGCATTAAATACTCATATATTTGATTTGCTTATTTTTTTTAATTTAAAGAGCTATATTAAATTTATAATAAATATTGATGATTATTATGAGATTTAATCATAACAGACATTTGGTTTCTACATGTATATAGTAATGCCTTGAATGTATTTTAAAACAAGTTATATTAAAAATTTTAGAAAATTTATATGAAAGAATTTATTTTAAATATTAAATAATTTTTTAAAACATGTTTAATTTGGTGAGAAATAGTATTATGATATAATATTTTTTGTTTTTGTTAGAGCTTTTCATAGTGAATTTTTTAAAAGAATAGATCCAACTTCTACTATATATCGACGATGAGATATGTAACGACAAATTTTGTGATATTCGAATAAGTACAATACTTTTCTTTTTATGATTAAATTTCATCATATTTTACTTAATTATTCGATACTTTTCTTTTTCAAATTAAATATATAGTTGGAAAAAATATTTGAAGCATCAAATATTATTCTTTTGAAAAACAATTATAAGAATTTAATTGAAAAAAAAAAGAAATTGAAAGTGATTTTACAGTCTAATCTAAACTTGAAAAAAAGGCGATGTTTGCAAGTGTAACAATGACTCGTTGATTTAAGAAGAAGACGCTAGTATCTATACGATAAGCAATGTTTACTTCTTCGATAAGGGTGGGTGTGGGGTGTGGGTGTGGGTGTGGGTGTGGGTGTGGGTGTGGATATCAGCTATAGAAAAACATATGGTGCAGATGAACACCCACACCCACACCCACACCGCGAAAACCGTTTTTTAGGAAAAAATCGATATTAAATGTTTTTTTGAC